CCCCAAAACCCCAAAACCCCAAAACCCCAAAACCCCAAAACCCCACTGTTATGGTATAATTCAATCAGTGTGATTATGAAATTAAGATTAAATGCAAAAAATGAAATTAGTCATTATTGCTCTGCTTGAATATGAGTCTTCATAAAAAATACTCTCTTTCTACCTTCGTCAAAGTAAATATTCTCTATTATATACTTTGCAAGATCAACTCTCTTTAATGGCTCCATTAAAAATGAAACCTAATCTCTGATTAACTCTTTTCTTATATCAAATTCTCTAATATCACAAGAGCTTATCATTGAAAGAGTTTCTCTATAATACGTCTTAATTCTGAGAATTAACTCATAAGGATTCAAGACCTCGCTTACATCAAATTGCAAATCATCTTTCATCAACTCAATAATCACTCTAAAAATATTTTATTAAATGGATTGATTTACCTTTCTTGAGTACCTGGCTCTACAATGTCAGGTATCACATAATCAGGGTTAGTTAAAGAAAATCTGAACATATTTCTAATATCAAAATTATGTGGTATTATATTCTTCACATCCGCTGCTACTCCCAGAGGAGGATCAATAAAGTATGCAAAGTACCTTTTCTTCAAAACTCCTTTACTATTGTTGTTACTATCTAATAATTTGACAATTTAGAACTGATCGTCTATGATTTTGATTTTGAGTCGCTTATCAACCACTCTGGAAACTATGTCCTTCATAATTCTGTCATTTTTCACGTTAAGGGAATTAAGCTCGTCCTTAGTTAGTATATGCTCCAATTAGAATTTGAATTGCTCTTCAAGAGCTGTCTCTTTATCATAGAGAACTACTATCCATTCCTACTCAGCCAGTTCTATGGATTCATACTTGATGAAAATTATCAAGGTACTGTCCAAGTAATTCACAAGCTTCCTATACATTAATCTTGAAGTATCTACTTGCTAGTTGTATTGGAACCGCTGAATTGGTTATATGAAAGCTTTCTTGAAATCATTCACTAAGTCTGGCAGCTTCTAGAAAAGTGCATAGGAATCCTTGAATCCTGTATTGAAGGCAAATTTAATCTCGTCCTTTACATTCACCAGCTATTTGTTATCTACAGTCTGCTTGATATTCAAAAGATGCTTTTCTGCCAAGATTATATCTATTATTGACTGGTTTAACTAAGGTTCTTTCACTATAACTCTAATTGCTTTCTCTTACTATGTATAGGCTTAAGAAGTTTCAATAGAGTAAACAAGCTTGATTTTAGTGCCTGCAATGCAAAGGAATCCTGATAGAATTCTTGAAGACTCTCTCTAAGTCTCATAAATAAAACTTGCCTCATCATACTTTTCATCGTAAGTTACTCTTACTTGAAGTGAATTAAATATTCTTTGAGAGTAAATCTGGCATTCTGCAAAAATATACTCATTTTGTGTTCCTGGAACCAATATCTATACACTTCTAGCGTAAATCAGAAGTTAGCTATCATTGAAAGCACTCTTTAAATTACCTTACCAGACATCTACCTAGGCTACATGATAATCCTTTTAGTAGCCCAGATTTTGAATAAGTAATATCTCATCTGAGGACTTGAATTAGCCGATTACTCCTTGATTAATATTAGTCTGAGCTAAGTCTACAAAGTACTCCTTATCTACTCTATCCTCAATTTAGTTCAGCTTATTATCTTTGATAACAAATTGCCATTATATGTGACTAGCAGGTTCAAGGATCATAAAGATTATTTAGTGAGGGAAACTTTATTCTACAACTGCAAGTACCATTCCATCTCTAATGAACTTATTTTCTTCATAATCATGATGCATCTGCTAAATGATATTGAATCTTTCAATCAAAAGCTTTTTTCCCTTAAGTTAAGCTTGACTATAGTACTCTGACCTGAATAAAGCGTTAGGTTCCTCAATGCAGAACATTTCAAATTGATATTTCTTCTCATCTTTGAGATTCTTTAAAGTCAGTTCGTAGATCTTAATATCGTATTTCTTATCTGAAAACTCCTTTTCTATATTCAAGATTACTTTTCGGGTCACTTCTATCTATGGTAAGCTGGTTTTGTAGACCAGATGATCTGGATCTTCAATTGCTCCCATTTTTGTTATAAATTTAGAACCACAAAGTTTGAAGTCTTGTCTCAATCTTAATCTATCCTCAAGTCTGCTAATCAAGTGAGTGATGGATATCTGTAGCTGACCCTTGATCTCATTCAAGACGATTGTATCCAATACTAGATCAAGAATCATGTCTTTCTTGACTTTTCCTGAGAAGATCTCATTTTCATTGTAAATTTCCAACAGCCTTTGCTACTCTCCATTTTTATTAAGAACATTCTTGAGTCTATTAAAAATTTCTTGAATATCCTTTTCAGTAATGATGATAATGAAAGATTTAGCTGTTTATCTTTAATAAGCATCTATGTAGATTAGCTGCCAGTCAAAGGCTTTCTTAGGTTGCTACTGAATTTTGAGATTCTTTAAATTAATCACGAAGTATGATGTGACCTTAAATACCTTTCTATTGATTATAGAGACAGTTGTTTACTTATTGCATTCAGCTAACTAGTTTAGACTAATCTACAATGACTTTTGATCTATCTCAGTATCCATCAAGTCAACCTAATCTAGTTGAGCTAGATATTTTTATCTTTTTATCTCATCAATTACTTCCTAGACTGATTAGATTTCAGGGTCAACAATAATCTCCTTTTCCTATTTACTATCTTAAATTATGATTAGCTTGTTTATTATCATTTTCATGTACTTCTCGGGATTGCTCTTCAATGAAATTATCTGTTAATCATTCAGAATATCCTTGATGCTTATCTTTCTATGCAACTCTTCATAGTTAGTTTACAGTTTAAGATGAATATGTATCTCTTTATTAGTCAGGCAACTCAAGTCGTCATAGAATGAATATAGTGCAAATACATTTTCAAAATAATCCTGATCATTAACCTCTTCATCATAATCATCAATTTTCTTTTAGCCAACGTGCTTGATTCTAACGATTCCAAAATCTCTGAAGATTAGCTTCATAGTGGCGAAGCTCTATTTCTCTATTGGTGTTTTTATGTTCAAATTTTAAATAGCCGATAATCTTCCAAAATCTTTTAAGTAAGACTCATATCCATATGAGTACATAAACAATAATGTTCTAATTTCAGTACTCAGAATCTCGTATTCATTAAGCTTTATGTACTTATTATTGCTTATTTTCTAGAGATAGATCAATTACTCTGTAAAGATCAGAGATCCAAACTAGTGCTATTGATTAGGGTTCCACTGGAAGTTCTCCATTCTTTGGTTATCATATTTAGATATTGCAACAATCTTAATTACTATACTGTCAAGGCCATAAATTCTCTCAAGAGCAAATATGAATCCTTCAATCAATGTATCCTAAACTAGCTGTTAAGGTAGCCTAATTATTTCACTAGTCATCTATTAAGTTTGCCTATCTTTAGAAAGCTCAGTCTAAAATAGCATTAGGTATTAGTCTATGAATGTGTCATTAATTTTAACTCTGAGTTAGAGATGTTGAGATTACTTTCCTCTCAATAGGATGACATACATTGTCTAAGTTTGGTCTTTCCCCATCATTATTCCAATTTATTCTTCATATATAGATTCAAACGCCTCATAAATTATCATTTTCTCAAAATCAGTGCCCACTTACTTCTCTTAAACTAGTCCTTTCTTTCTTTTATCATGCTTTGACAAGATGCTCTTGTTACTCTAATCAAAGACTGCCCTGTATTACTCCTTGAAGAATAATTTATGTTCAACAGCAAGATAGTAATCAACAGTAGGGTTAGTTACAATACTAGTTTCTCTGCCTTATCTCCTTTCCAGAAGTGATTAAATTCTACTAGCTTTGCCATTTGTACTTAAAGTAGTACCATCTTCATCATCATCCTCATCGTTGCTGTTATCTCTTAACCTTTTGTTCTTCTAGTTCGATCTCTTAATCATAGTGAGATTATTTAGTATTATTTAGCATAAATCCTGAAGATGATCTTCTTCTAAAAGTTTCATATTACCATCTATTATCATCATAAGATCCTCAAACAAAAGATCAAAGCTGTGTTGCTAGCATTTCTCGTGATCAAAAGCAATAACTCTAATTACTAAGTGAGGTTCATCGCATTTCAAGAAGTTTACGATTATTGTTTAGCCATTTAGCTTATGACCCTCTCTCTTGATTAATTTGAAATGATCCTGAGATAGACTATCATCCCAGAAAGGAGAAATTGTTCTTCCGAGATTTAAGGTTATATAAATAGGGTTGATCTCATTGAAAAGGGCAAAGTTTTCCACTAGCTGCTACTTGATCTTATTCTATAGTTATATCATTTTATGGTTATCGATTGGATCCTGGAACTCAAAAAGGTGCTTCTTAAGCATACTTCTATGAGTTCTCTCTTGATAATCATCCACAAAGGTAAAGCTCTTCTGATCCATTAAGAATCCTACTTCGATGAAATGGTTTAGTTGAGGTAATTTGATTTCTCTTGTATTGTTAAAGGTTTACTCTTAGTTCTCTTTCTAGGTACTATCAGAAAGACTGTCTTCTACATTCAAGGGTTTCGTCAATGTTTTAGGCTTAGTAGGATCCTTGAAGATATCAATGGGGCTCTTTTATGGTGAATTAGGAACCATCTGAGGAGTTGAGGTACCTTAGTTTTGAGATGTCTCTTTGATTGCATATTCCTCAAATACAATAGAAAATGTTCCCCAACCCCCTTAACTTACTTTGTTGCTAAGTTTTTTTAATTTTCTAAGTTCTTTCTCAAGCTCCTCTTTTTTCCTGTTGCATAATTCTGACTCGATTTAAATCTGCCTATTCTTGCCATCATAATCATCTATCAAATCCTTTTTCTCCAAGTCAAAGTTAATCATCAACTCCTGCTTTAGCATTTCCTGCTCCTTAACAAATTCTTCTCTGATTTGCAGCTCTCTTTCCTTCTGCATCTTATGCAAGATACTTAGGTCTTTGCTGTACTCAAGCTTGATCGTATTCTTTTCACCATAATGTTACTCCTTCTAGGCTTTGAGCTGATCTTGGAGTTCAGTTATTTATCGCTGAAGTAGCAATCTTGTTTCTCTGACTCTTTCTTTGAGTGCGCTATTTTCAGCAGCCATCATATCAATAACTTTCTTTTCTTATGACTTTAATAAAACAGAGGCAACTGCAGCTGATGATTAATTGTTTTTTCCAAGAGTTGAAGTTTGCTAAAGATTCAAAAACAAATCCTTGATGTTGAAAGGCTATCTTGTAGCGCTCTGATCCTTATTAATATCTGACATTGAATTTGTGTTTCCAAGATCTTCCCTGTTAGAGTTCAAGGCTGAATTACCAACAGTTTGATTTCTATGAAACATTATATTCTATTGATTCTTAAGCATCTCAAGTGAGCCTCTATTTCCATTAGTCACTGTTTGATCTCCTAAATCCTGTTCTTTCAACTCTTCCTCCACCATTTCTTAGAAATGAAGCTACTCTTGCTGCTACTTGAGTTCTTCCTCTTACTCTTTCTCCTGCTCATCCATCAATTCCTGGAGTTAGCTGCTTAATCTATGCACTTGCTGTTTGAGTTCAATTCTTTCTTGCTAAAGATCAAAGTTTTTCTCACCAATTTTATTTAGATACTAAGCAAAATGGATTCTGTTTTAGGCGAAGAATTTATTGTAAATTTCAGACACAATCTTCTTATTAGTTTTCTATTGCAGCAGATCAAACAGCTAAAGACTTTCAACAGACGTCTGAGTCCTAGACTCCTTATAGATCTCACTGAGAATAGTTAGTAGGACCTCGGACAGTTCATAAATGTGCTTGTAATAGCAAGTTTCCAATGAAACAGTACCACTTTTCATCTCTTTGATAACTTTCTAGTTCATGCCCTTTACATTCTTATCTAACTCAATCTGCTTTTAGTCTTATTGATCATCTTCAATCAGTTATTTCTCAGAATTAAGTCTAGACTTCTCTAGTCTCGTAAGCGGATCCTCCTTTGAGCTTAATTAGATTTCTATCTCTCCCTTTTAGTCTGCAGTAAAGTCTACATTATTCAGATACTCTTCATCATTGAGTCTATCGACATCGAAGTTCATGAAACTTATAATTTCCTTGACATATCTCAATGACTCTTTGATAATTGAATACATTGAGTTTATTCTTGTCTATGCTGAGTTAGAGGCAATATAGATGTCTCTTTAGATTTCCGTTTCTGCCTTCCTCATTTCCTAGGCTAGATTTTTCATGTCCTTCTCAAGACTCTTTTCCAAAAAGCGTTTCTGCATGTGCATTTTTCTGTAATTGCTAATCATATACTCTAGCTTCATATTCATGAAAGTTCTCTCCTTCTCCTCAATATTTAGCTTTTTCTAAGTCAGATCTCTCACATTGTCCACTTTGGATAGCTTATATGAATACTCCTAATCTATCTCTTTTAATCGTTTAGAAAGCTTTGAAATGATACTTGGTAAATCTTTGTCATTTTCAAAGCTAAGTTAGAATCTATCATTCCCAAATAGCTCAACTAGATTTCTGATTTACTCTTCCTCTGCTTAAAGAACGAAATTATCTTAGTTCTATTAGAGTGTAAATTAAAGACTTTAATTTTCTGCTTGTAATTACTAATTTGTTGATTTGACTTCATCAAGCTCATTTTAAAGTCTTTATATTGTGATGTTCTTTTCATCTAGCTGCTCTAACTACTTTTAAGTCAAATCAGTTATTCTTTTAGTCTCATAGCCTTTAAAAGCTTCTTTTAGCTTGTTCTTATAGTTCTGCAGTTTGCTTTTGTAAATAACTATTTCTGATTTGAGTTTTATAATAGTTTCCTCTTTTTCAGTAAGTGTTGAGGCAAGTCTATTCTCGAGATATCTATTGTTCTTAGTCATAGTATCAAGTCTTGAGGCTAGATCAATTTTTTAATCATAGAGAGTTGTATTCTCATCAAAGATTGTATCTTAAATCTACTTCACTTTGTCAAACTAATTTTAGTATTGGGTAAGCAGCATCTCTGTTTCTTAGGGATCCACAAAGTGTTAAGGACTTCTCAATCTCTCGAATATTTAGTTTTAGTAGCCAGATAGTAGTCGATAAGTCTTATTGAATTCTTACTGTTGTTCGTTGATCTTTGAGGCATAGTCTACATCAATTGAAGTCTAAGGAATCTCAATCTCGAAATTTTCGTCATTTTCTTGCTCGCTTCTTTTCGCATTCTTTCTCAGCAAAATCAAGCGCTATCTAATATCCTCAAGTTCTATCTCTTTTTATCTACCATTCTTTAGCAACTCTTCTCTACTCATTCCCTCAATTTAATCTCTGAAATTGAATTTTTAGACATTATTATCACTAGAGATGGGAGTCCTTTGAAAGTAAGTCTTTAAAATGTCCAATAGCTTTTGAGACTTTAGCCTTAATTGTGAAATATAATCAACCTAAGCTCTAGAATGATCAAAGATAAATCTTTCTTGTTCCTGGAAATCCTATCCAAACAGATCGAGATCAGAAGATAGATTAGATTCTTCTCCTTAGCTAGCCTTTTGTAGAATTTGTATATATTTTATTAGGACTTGTTAGCTCTCATAATTTTCACCTTCAGCGAACTAGATATTAGGGGCAAAAAGCAAGAATTTTTCAGTATCACCGATAAAGGCTAGTTCTTTATGTTTGTTCTGGTCTGGTGTCTGAAGATTGAGGTCTCTCTTAGCATTTTTTGAGCCTGCTCTTTTAGCAAGTTTAAATGAGCTCTATCTAACATTTCTAGAAATATTAAGTATTATAACTTACGATGTCATCGGTTTAATTAATTGATTTGGGGCTCCATCATTCTTTTTACCAGACATCTCCAAAGGATTCGTATTATGAGTAGTAATTTATGGAGTGATTTTGATGGTTGCTGATCTGTGAAATTTACCTTGCTATATAAGTTTATTATTGCGAATTGTGATACAGTTTAAGACATTGGGGGAACCATTAGTCCCTCCTTTTTCAAATCTTCCATGATATTTAAATTTAATTAATCAAGCAAGTCTTGCTGCACATAATTTCATCAGTATATTTACTCTATCTGATCATATGGGGTTTTGGGGTTTTGGGGAGAT